GGTGAGATATGAAGACGTCTGACCATCAAACCCCTGTGATCCAGAACACGAACTGCACAAACGTTCATGACTTGAACAGCGCTACGACTCTGAACCTATAAAAGCAGAGTTCATGAGATAGATTACTTTCTTGGACATTCAGCAAAGTAAAAACCAAACTGTAAAAACACTACAAACAACTACAAAACTGCAGAGCACAATTACGAGTGAGTCATTCTAACACATTTCAGTAAGCGATCGTTTTAGAAGAGGCTAGTTATTTTAAAAGCAGAATGATGCCTGCTGAAGCTGTCGTAATATACGACTTCGACATTGCACAGACACGTCAGTCGATTTCGATTACTGTTTATCCTTTCGCGTCACGGATGCACGGAGGTAGCAACGATTCCCGTTCTGTGCTAGCATCTCAGCATCAGCAGAAGATAAAGCAATTTTTGAAGTAGTCCGTCGATTCACTTTCCCAAGATTATTCTTGGTCGCCAGGGGTCACTGGTCGGTCCATTGAGTAAGTAGCAGATATTCTGCGTAACTTTCTGAAAACGTTGGCAAAAACGGCACAAGACGTACCGCATATCATGGAACTGCGATTCCTCAACTCAAAGAAGTAAAAGCCCCGTGCACAAGCCACATCAAATATCTGAACTCGGGACCTTGTCTGACGCATGAGTTCAGCGATTTGTCTCAGACAGCCGATTTTAGCCATTTGTACAGTTTTCACCATTTACCGTAAAACGACGCTAAATCTGTTAGTTCAGAAAATACAAATGAAGAAGTAAGGAAACTTACCACTGTTCTTTAAGAAAACTTCTGTACCGTGACATTCTAAGGTACTGAATTTACAACTTGCCATTCCTTTAAAATCGTTGGAATAGCAGGCTCAGAGGATTTATGCAACAGTTCCAGTCTTTAGCTAATCTGCCAAGCTCTGCGGCTTCTCTTATGAGAGTACGCAGAGAGCAATGAATACATCTACAACCCGATCAGCAATGAACGCCTGGCATTCTAATCCCTTGGAATTCAACTCATTCATGTTTCTGGAATGACGGAGATTCGGGGCTATTCGAAAAATCTCCTGAGACTGTTGCTGTTGCAAATCCTCCAGGAATAGAGGACTGCGAAATCAGTGATCAGTGAATGAATACGAACTTTCAATGTGATTTGTAAATCAGCACAGATGTCATGAGTAAAGAATTCTAGTTAACTGCATCCTCTAAGAACTAAAAGTATGAAAACTGATGTTAAGCAGCCTACATGCCGCGGACTGTTTGCGACATTGGTGACTGATGATTAAACTCACTGGTTCAAACTGTGCTTAACATATCGTCTAACAATGAAATCAGCAATGCATGAGATGCAGCATCGCCGGTTCTGCTCAAGTATGACACTGCCAATCCGATGTTCGAAAGCATAATCAGTCAAAGTTACCTGAATATGGCCCTTCATACGACACTGCAACATGATAACACATTTGGTAGGCGCGGTAGCACAGTAGCAAAGGAGTCGGCTTCGAACGACGGACAAGTCGGATTCCAATTCATAGAATGGACAATATTTGCTTTAAAAGCTAACTTCCTTAGGCTAGGAATGAATCTGCCGAGAAACAGGCCGCAAGTCTTTAACTTGCGAAAAACAGGTGCAGCACGGTAGCCTGCTGTGGCCATGCCAGAATGATTGATCGCAGCGGTACGGTTATACTGCTTGATTCGAACGCCTCTTAGGGCTGTAATTCATCCTGATGCACCAACAGTTGCCTATTCAATATGATAATCAGGCAGTCAGTAGGTGTAACTAATGATATTGTTATATTTGTTGCCGAGAGGCCGCAGTTCCGTGAACAACTTTTTATTGCTATCGTCATAGAATAACATGCCACTCGTCTGTGAAGTAATTTGAAACTTACGTCAGCAGAGGAATAAAAGAAAGCAACTGAGAAAGCTTAATAACTTCTAAAGTGCATCTGCTAATAAAGAGAAAAAAAGGACGTTTCATTTTCGCATGTTCCCATGAAATC